GAACGAGGCTTACTCACTTCGCTAAAAACATATAATCCTCACCCAAACCAAATTCCTAATTACGCTACTGGTAACGATCTTGCGCAGCCAGCGAGTCTAGACAGAGAAACGGCCGCGGTTGATGGTGGCGAGCGGCGGATGGCGGTGAGACGACTCCGACGTCGGATTTGTGGCGAAGACCGGACGTGAATACTGAGTAAATCAAGAGAATCGAGATTTGGCGTACGCGGGAATCGGCAGTGACTTTGGACGAATGACCCGGTCGATTTGTCATTATCACGTGTGAAAAAGCGAGAGCTCGCAGGCAACGGACCCGTGGAAACGCTCAAAGTCCGTGTTCCTCATAAATAATTTAGAATATTATCTATATAATCTATGGTGTTCCTAGTGCTATAATATAATCTCTGACCTCAGTACATACCACTCAACGACTCAACCTACGCAAGTCACCGTCGCTCCCATCGTAATCGTTGATAAGGTTGAGGCGGAATCGTTGCTTACACCGCCGTTTAGCTCATACAGTAATTACTCTATGGTTTAGCTATACTGTTTAACCACCGTGTCGCCATCGTCGTCGCCCGTCAGTCTCAGTTTATCACTTATAAAGACACTCATCACTCATCAGTCGTTCCAAGCCACCGTAACTGCGGCCGGGCGCTTGCGGCTCGCCGACAGAAAGTCTAGCGCGTCAACATCGACCGAGCGCGCTACACACGCGTAAATCCGTCGCGTCGTGCTTGGTCGGAGAACGTGTTCKAGTGACTTACCAGTCGGCAGTCTTACCGCCGTGCATCTTCCGTGCTCTTTTCCGTATCCTTCCTCCCTTTCTGTCGTCGTCGTCTTCCTGCCGACGTCTTTGGCTCTTAGGAGGTCGTCAAACTTACGAGTGTCGCGGACGGTTTCACTTCGCCAACAGCATAAACGTCGAAAACACACCTGACGCCTTTCCAACACGACGAGGTTTTACTCTCACGCGGCTGTTCGGTTTTCCGGTTGTTGCCAGCGGGTCTACGGCCTTACCGAAGCAGATTGACATTTCAATACCCTCGATCGACTCGAGTTCGGTCAAAACATCTGCAACCACCGCGTCGCCATGATGTTGTTCTCCTGACCGGTCTGAGAAGAATCGATGTTCTCAGATCCCGGAGGAGCGTCGCCAGATGACAGCGCGRCACCGGCCAAATTCGACTGGTACAATAACTGCGTTTTCGATGACTTCTTGTGGTAGAACTTGGTCGTTCTCTCTCTGACGACGTTTCACCAATCGRACACTGATCGTCAATTCGTCATATGCAGTTATTGCCAACATACTGGCTTTTCCTTATCGGCAATCGCCATCTTCATTACTCCATTACTCCATAATATGTATTATATATTATGGTGATCGTCGTGGACGGTACGTTGTCCGTTACCAAATAAATGGTTAAATTAGTTCGTTATGATCTCGTTCATGTAAGATGTGACTCATATTCGATATGCTATATCCAATGGTGTATTTTCAAATTCTTCTTGGTAGA